AAGAAACCTACATTGGAAGAACCCTAAGCATCTACGCATGAGGAAGATTAGCTGCTAAGCCTAATAATGCACTTGCACTTAGCCTAGGGAGATTAGTTGTTAAGTCTTCTTGCTTGCCACTTTGCATTGGTTGCTAAACCTTCGTAGCACCTATTTTATTCAAGCTGGCAAATCAGTTATGTCTCAAGCCTACATTTATATCTATATCTATATTTATACCTACTAATAAAGCAAGGTCTGTTTCTCCGATTTTTTCATCCGTTCACCCTCAAAAATTATTTTTCTATTTGAGGTGGTACTAAATTTTTGTCAGTTCATTTGTTTTTTAGCAATCCAGAATTTCGTACTTGATCCGCACACGTTGTGGCCCAGCGAGGTCTTCCGCTGCAAAAATCCTATTTCTCGCCCCATGCAGTAAATAGTCAGAGTTTGCACAGGGCGCCCAAGACTGGGCTGGCCTGTTTTGTTTTTATGTCCAATTTATTTTAAAATTTACCTTATTTCATAATTTAACATTTTCAAAAAATGTTTCAAAAGATGTTCAAATTACAATATCGTCTTCTCCTTTTCAAAAATATTTGGAACATTAATTTATTTCTTGTTCCCTTTTTCAAATTCGGAAATATTTCAAAATTGTTTGTGATTTAAAATAATGTCCATATTTAAAAACACATTTTATAAAATTGTTCTGAATATTCAAAACATGTTCCATTTTCAAAAGTTGGTCACAAGTTAAAAAAATGTTCGGGTATTGGTGAAAGGTTCATATCTTGAAAAAATGATGTTGTTTCAAATTTTTCCCATGTTTTTCCAAAATGGACGGAATTTTAGAAACATTGTTCGTAATTTCAGAAAATGTTCACATTTCCAAGAATATCGGCAATTCTTATTTTTAAGTAAGTTCTTTTTAAAAAAAATCAACGTTGCAATGTGTTCTTAAATATTTGCAGTGGCCATTGGTTAGCAGTAGGCCTTTGCTACCGTGCCTAGCGGCACATGGTCGGGTCTTTAAGGGCATGTGTTCCATCGTTTAACATGTCATTTTTTTAGATTATTACTCGTGCCTTGCAAACACAAGTTATTTCGGTGTCTGCCAGTGGGCTGGCCCAGATGCGAACCGTTGTGCGTCCCACACACTATTTGACGCAACTAGTGTTATATAGTAGCTCCCACACAGCTGCTCTAAGAAAATAAAAGATATACGTATAGATTTTGTTCCGTCCATTCCACACGTAGCTCCCCAATTTTTTGGTTATTCCTCGGGTGGGCCAAATTGGACCTACCACATAGTTCTTTTTCTGTTGGACTGACGAGCAGCAAAAAAGAAAGGGCGCGAGGGGATTGAACTATGGACCTTCCCTATTGTGCCGATGGATAAAACCAACTCAGCCAGCTCTTGCAATTATGATAGGAACAATCCCATCTTGGAATTTTATAGTAAATCACACCGGTTTTTATATGTCCGTAAGTTGTCTGGAAATAAGAAGGTTGTGAGAAAATAGAGAAGTTATCTCGAGAATTATGAGCAAAACAGGGACTCAAATTATTGCCGGAGGTAACTTGCGCATGTCAATAAAAGATAATATGCTGGTTCGCTATAATGGAAAAAAAAGTGCGAGCACACTGCTAATAAAAGAGAATATGCTGGTTTTGCTATAATTAATAAAATTAATGGGCACGTGAGTACAATAATATAGTTCAAGAGAATAAACTCTGATAATGAAGGGGCATTCATGCTTGGTTATGCGCTCATTATGCTAATGAAACATAATTTATGTGCTACAATTAGTAATCCATCCGGTTACCTCGTCGTAGGAGAAAGTGGTCGAAGCAACCAAATAAGGACGCAACCACTACTCCGAGACGGAGGTGAACCCGGAGGAAAAAATGTACCAGTTGGATGGCCGCCACCACGCCGACCAACCCCATCACTTTCAAGATCTCGCGGGCCAAACATGAACCGTGAGAAAACTGCAGCTCTTCGTTTTGTTGCCAACCACTATGGCGACCGTTTTTGAGAACACATCAATTATCTCTCTCGTTGTTTGTTACAAAAAAATTATCTCCCCATTGCAACGCAGGGGCATATGTGCTAGTGTTTTCCTATATGAGCAATATTGGCTTATAAACCTCCAAAGCAATATTGGCTTAAACCTCCAAAGCAATATTGTGCAAATCGCAACTCAACTAATGATCCAAAGTGGATCTAAGCCAGGAATGTCAACGCGCTGATGTTTCTCCAATCAGTTCCGTCTCAAGCGCACCAACAGGCTCGCCGTCAGCGAGTGCTGAACCGCCTTCCCACTCGAGCTGCACCTCATGGATCGCGACGAGGTCTCTAGCTGCAAGCTCTCGCTGATCCCCTCCGCGACCTCCGTCATCGTTGGCCGGTCCCGCCCCGTGTGCCCAAATAGTGATATTATTCCTCTCTGTGTCACTGATGGTGATGATCGCTCGCTGGCCTGTGATGAGCACCAGGAGGACCACGCCGAAGCTGTACACATCACTCTTCTCGCTGAGATGAGAGGTGGCGTAGTACCTGTTCAGGGTCAACTCACATCAGACTTCTCAGAACTCAGTTTATTCTACAAGAAATGTGAAAAACTAGGGTCAAAACATGCATACTCCGGGTCCAGGTATCCGAGGGTACCAGCAGGTCGGGTGGTCATGTGTGTTACCATTTCATTGCTGAAAGCCCTTGTCAGCCCAAAATCTGATAACTTGGCCTGGAGATTTGTGGTAAGAAGGATGTTACCGGTCTTAACATCTCTGTGGATCAATGGCGGGCTGCAAGATTTGTGCAGGTACTCCAGTCCTATAAGAATTGCATGGATAATTTAAGTTGGAGTGCATAGATGATCTATCACAACTCAAAATCAAAGAGAAACGTTTGGATACACATATGGACAACATCCAACATTTGCAAAATTTATTTATACTTGCTGCGTACCGTGAGCAGAGTCCAATGCAATTTTAAGGCGCTGCAGCCAATTAAGGGGCTCTTGACCTGTGCACAGGATACATAAAAAATACATACATTAATAAATAAATAAGGGAAATTAGTAGACCTGGTAACCTGATGAAGTATTATATCACATGTAAGTATGTAACGCTTTCGCTCAGTCTGAGCTTTTCAGCGAACTAAGTTACCGCCGGATGTTTGAGCTCCTGTCAAGTGACAACAGGATCGAGGCTATGGCAGAGCTGTACGGTTGGTCCTTAGGATCACTTTGTGGTGGCTCAGCGGATGTCGAGCAGGTTGGAGGTGGTCCCATTGCAGTCTGACCTCCACGGTCCGTTCAGGTGTTCCGTTGTTTTTCAATGCCGAACGACCTTAAGAAGTTGGTGTGGAACGTGCCGGGGCCAAAGGATCGGGCCTGTCGCATGGGTGCCTTGTCGCTACGACTGGCACGTCTATTGTGTGTCTCAAGGAGACTAAGTTGTCGGATGTGTCCTCTGTATTGGTTATGGAAGCCTTAGGCATGGATTTTGATGATTATTTCTGCTTGCCGGCTCTCAAGACAGGGGTATTGGTCAATGGCGGAGCTAAGTAGGAATTTCACGCGGGGAGGGGAGGGGGTGAAAGACAAGAAATTATATACCACCGCAACAAGCTGGAATTTATAGCTTTCAAACAAATTTATGTTGATTTTGCCCATCTTAGTTGCAAAATAACATATACAGTACATACTGAACAGAACAAATCTGTAGTGCAGAAGAAAATCCTCAAAAGAAAATTTTAGATTGAGCTTATGTGTGGTTCTCAAACCTAGAGAGTAGTGTACGGTCTAGAACAAATTAATGATGTAGACAGGATTATTAGATTACCACTTACCAAGAATCAATGAGTGAGGGGAAAAGATCTAAGCTGCTCTGGTGACCGATTTGACCTTCACTATCGTCGCCGCTCGCCTCGCCGGGGGTTGCTGCTGCGCGGTGTGCTAGACCAGAATTTGCCGAAATGGGAGGCCAGGAGACCTAGTTGCTCTGACGCTGGTAATGGGTGTGCGCACATGGGCCTAACCTAAGGCCTGAAAAATGCAGCAAAAATTTCCATTCTAGTCCCAACTTGAGCAACTGCTATTTATTAATTTCTTTTTTAGGTTTTGGCTTGGGGGGGCTGCTGGCCGTAATGAAGCTCCGCCAGTGATCTTGATTGCTTGATCGAGTCACACAACAATGTTCACTTGTTCGACAACTGTGCCATGGCTCTGGTCTTCCCCCTCACAGGGGACCATTGGTGGTTGACCTGCGTCTACTAGACGCAGGAGGACGCGCCCAAGATCGCTTTCCTCGACGAGATGCGAGATGTGCGAGTGGCACGACTTGGCCCTTGGGTGGTTTGCGGTGATTTCAATAAGGCGATTCTGTTCATTCCTCAACGATGGTGTGCTCAAGGAGATGTACCTCCACGGTCGGCATTACACGTGGTCTAACAAGCATGGTGCTCCCACTTTGGTCAATCTTGTTTTGCACCGTCGACCGGGAGGAGTTGCACCACAGTTGTTCACTCCTCTGCCTGTCCACAATCATCTCCAACCACTACCCCCTCCTCCTAGATTGCACGCCACACACCCCGTGTCGTCGGCTATTCTAGTTCGAGAGGTCTCAGTCAAGCAAGGCGGCTTTGGGGAGAAGGTCATGGAAGGTTGGGCGCTCGCGGCCGATGAGGCCGACCCATCCAGAGGCTCATCGCTCGGCTCAAGAGCACAACTCATCTCTTGACGAGTTCGAGCAACAGACAGATGGGACGTGTCAAGCTCCATCCCATGCTGGCTCGCGAGCTCATCTTCCGGTTCGATGTGTCTATGGAGTCGAGGCAGCTCTCGGAGCTCGAGCGTCAGCTGCGTGCTAAGCTTAAGCAATGCATACCAGGGTTCTTTTTTCCGACAGAAAACTACAAGGTATGCCTATTAGCTGAAATTTACTCGAGTAGAACATGCTTAACAATTACGTCAAACTTAATTTTACACTACGCAACACGATGTACGTGGGCAAATTTACAAACCTCTGAGACGGTCCTCTAGGTTCCCTTCATCCATGTACTCGTAGATAAGGCTTAAATGTTTCTTGTCCTTGCAATATCCAATCAAGGAGACCAAGTTCTTGTGATGAACCCTGGCCAGGTGCTGAGCCTGCAATATGGATATGATAATTCATGAGCCTGCAATATGTATACGATATGTACAACATAGCTACTAATTTGTTGAGCTGAGCAAATAATGTAGATATACCTCAGCCAAAAACTCTGTATTCCCTTGTGAAGATGTTTCTGACCGCATCTTCACAGCAACCAAAGCACCATTCTCCAAACAACCAACATAGACAAGGCCAAACCCGCCCCTTCCAATTACACTATTGAAGTTATTTGTGATGCGCTTAAGTTCCTTGTAAGTGAATCTCCGGTTCTCGAATGTATTAGTTGAATGAGCCAGATCTGGGGCAGCATAAACATGAATCGTATTATAGCACGGATCCAGGATGAAGGACAATCAAGCAACTGAATTTCCTTAACGATGCTACTGTTTATGAAGTACTGTCAACTGCATTACCTGGCCTCTTCTTCTTTCTGTCCCAAATGACAAGCAAAAATACAGCCAGAACTAGTAGTGATACTGAAACAACTACTGAAATAACAATCTGAAGTAGTTTTGTCTTGTTCCTCCTCTTTTTCTGAATCGGATTGCATGTATTATTTCCACAAAGACCTGGGTTATCGTCAACCCTACAAAACAGAATACCGATAGGTGAAAGATTGTAGCATAACTGGAAGTGAATTTAATTAGAAACACAATCACTGTAATTTGTTTGGGGGGAGAAACACAAATACTGTCTTGAATACTGTTGGCAGCTAAATTACTAAATTGCCCTCTTTCGTCAAAATAGTCCTTCCACTTTTATTTGACAACAGCAGCAAAACATGGCATATTGAACTTATTGTAAGTATCATTCAAATAATTTGATGAACAAAGAATGTTCCAATTCAGTAATTCAAAGAGATGATGTACAAAGGTATACTCGAAACATGTGCAAACCTTAATGTCAAAATCCCACGCTAAGTTTTTTCTAGCAGACTCCAAGGAATTGATCCACTGAGGTTGTTGCTCGACAAGTCCCTGTGAGAGGCGAAGACTAAAGATTGAAACGGTTCTGTGCTATAAAGTTTGCAAAAAAGATGCCGGATTGGCAGCAGGAATACAGGAACACATACAGAGATTTAAGTGCTGGCACTTGACCAAGAAAATCAGGTATTGATCCAGACAGACTGTTGTGAGATAGATCCCTGGGAATGCAGATCAATAGTATAGACTTATATAAAAGTGAAGTATGGCAGCCCATGTTTTAGCAGTAAAACTTTAAGATGATACTTGAAACTCAAAAACAAAAATGACTGAACTAGAGATTTACCATGCTTTATGTTTTATACTATGTTTAAAATGGCCAGACTGACAAGTTTGATTAGAAATTCAGACGGAAAGCGATACTTTTACAAGTCTGTAGCTTCTAGGGACGGTAAGGTGATTTTATTTAGCGAAATTTACTGGAAGGCACAGAGCATTGAGTGATCAATGGTCATACATGTTCTACTCTGCAAGCACTCATAATTCACGGACTAGCTACAAACACATGCGCTCTTTCTTATCTGGGGAAGTCTGATATGGCAATTTTTTGAACATACAAGTGTTGGAGCAGTGTTAGCTGACAAAAAGAAGCATCAATTTCACCAACCAATCCACTGGATGACATGTTTCTGCAAGTGAAAGGAAACAATCATCTTCCATAGAAGTGTAACTTCTCATCTGCAGTTTCTGGTGTACAAGAAAGGAAGAAAATGACAGACAAATATAGAACGATTATGTTGATTCAGAAATCAGAACTCACAAGGCTGCTATTCTTGGAGGACTGTTGGGAGTATAACTACAGTTCAAGCCATTCCATGCAAAAGATATAGGGGCACATGGATCACCCACCCAATTTTTTTTCACAGAGAACTTCTCCTGGATGGTCATCATAGCGTTGGCTGAAGATGCCAAATATAAGAGGCAATGCACAATTTAGTCAGACTTAACAAGATAAACAAACAGTCATGCATTCTGAAACCAAATTCAGCAGAACAGTGGTCGTGTGATGTGTTAAACATGATCAGTTATCATTAAGGTACATAATTATAAGATCTCACTTTTGTGAATTTAACATCACCTGAATTTTTTTAAGCATCACTTGATTTGAATCCTAGTAGCAAGTGTTAGATGTGTATATTCCCTTTTGTGAATTTAACATCACCTGAATTTTTTTAAGCATCACTTGATTTGAATCCTAGTAGCAAGTTTAGATGTGTATATTCCCTTTTCGGTATATCCCCATTGTATAAGGGGTTTTCTGCATTTTGACACACATGTATATGTAATGGCCTTTGGCCCTCAGGAAATACTAGTTGCTCACTTATCCAACATGGTATCAGATGCTAGGTTAGCCTCGCTCTCTCGCACGACGCAACTCCGTGCGCCCCTCCTCTAGCTTACCTCGATTCCTGCCGTCCCAGCCTCATCTCCGGCTGCTCTAGTCCATCGCTGGCCGGACCCGGCGCCCTGCGCCCGGAGCTCTCCTTCTCCGGCCGGCTGACCCCGTCTCTGGATCCGGTTGTCCTCTACGCCCCTGGCCCGCCTGGCCGCCGGAGCTCTTGTCCCGACCGGCCGCCGGCGCTCTCGGCTCTCTTCATCAGGTGTTCTGCTTCCGATCGAGCGCGGCCGCCCGCGCGCCCCTTCAGATCGAGTGGAGCCAGGCCGCCTGCTCGCCCCTGCTTCAGATCGAGCGGGGCCAGGCTGCCCGCCCCAGCGCCCCTGCTTCAGATTGAGCGGGGCCAGGCTGCCCGCCCCATCGCCCCTCCTTCAGATCGAGCGAGCCTGCCTCGCTAGTTCTGCAGCCCGATCTGGATCGCCTGTCTTCCGTGCGTTGACCAAAAAAAAACTGAACAGAGAATGCAAAAGAAGACCTCGTTATGTCTTCTTCGGGCTATGTTGCTGTCCCTTGGTGTTCGGTGATCTTCGATGGCACCAACTACGTTGAGTTTGTGGGGTTCATGCGCATCCATATGCGTGGTCTTCTTCTGTGGGGTGTTCTTTCTGGCGAGGTCCCCTGTCCGCCATGCCCTGTTGCGCCCGTGGCCTCAATCCCGCCGGTGTCGCCGGTGCTTGCTGCTGATGCTTCTCAGGCTGATCGGGATGCAGCCAAGGCTCTTGATGATGATGCTGTTGATGCTTATGATCAACAGGTATCCGCCTATTCTGATGCTCTCTCTGTCTACCGGGATGATCTGTCTGCTTATACTCAGTGGTGCAATGATGATGCTCGAGCTGCTGCTGTTCTTACTGCAAGTGTCCTACCTCAGTTTGCTTCGGAGTTCATGGGCCTCGGCACTGTTGCAGCGATGTGGTCCTATCTTTGTCAGCGCTATTAGCCATCTGGTGATGCTCTATACCTCTCTGTGGTGCGTCAGGAGCATTCTCTTCAGCAGGGTGACTCGTCTGTGGATGAGTTCTATTCCCAATGCTCTGCCATCTGGCGTCAGCTTGACTCACTGCGGACAGTTGTTTGTGGCACTTGCAGTTGTTGCCAGACTACGAGGTCTGACTTGGAGTTTCAGAGGGTCCATGAGTTCTTATCTCGTCTCCGCTCTAAGTTTGAGCCTTGCCGTGCTCACTTGCTTGCTCGTGGTCGTGTTCCTATCTCAGAGATACTTGCTGAGCTTCGTGCCGAGGAGACCCACCTTGCTCTGCTGGGTTGCTTCTGGTTCCGTCAGTTTTGGCTGCCCAGGCTCCTGTGTCGTCTGCTCGCCTCACTGCTCCGCCGCTCCTGCCCACTCCTCCAAGGGGGGTGAGCCGTCCTCCTTATGCTGAGAAGGGCACGTCGCGCCATGACACCGTCTGTGGTTACTGCTCCCGGCCAGGTCACCCAGAGTCTGATTGTCGCCAGAAGAAGCGAGACTAAAGGCGCTCCTCCTCCAGCGGGCCTCCTGTGTCTTCCTCGGCTCCGTCACTCACTGACCAGGACATTGTTCGCCTCAAGCGTCTTCTTGCTTCCTCAGGCTCCTCGTCGACTGGCTCTGCTGCTGTCGTGACTGCATCCTCCTCCTCGTCATCACAGGCATCTACACAGTCAGGTACATCTTCGTGGGTTCGGGATTCTGGAGCCTCCTTTCATATGTCTTCTGATTCTTTCGCGTTGTCTTCTCTCCGACCTCTTGATTCGCCTGTTAATGTTCTTACTGCCGATGGCACATCTCTTCCTGTTGCTAGTCGTGGTATTCTTTCCACTCCATCTTTTTCTGTTCCGAGCGTTTCACATGTTCCTCGCCTTACCATGAATCTTTTTTCCGCTGCCCAACTTACTGATTCTGGTTGTCGTGTCATTCTTGATACCGACTCTTGCTCCATTCAGGATCGTCGCACCAAGGCTTTGGTTGGTGCTGGCCCCCGACGCCGTGAGTCAGAGGGCCTTTGGGAGGTTGACTGGCTTTGTGTTCCTTCCGCTGCCACCACTTCCGCCAGCTCTCATGCTCTTGCTGCCTCTTCGTCTGCGTCTTTCCAGCAGTGGCATCATCGCCTTGGTCACATATGTGGCTCTCGCTTGTCTTCCTTAGTTCGTCAGGGCCTCTTAGGGTCTGTATCTGGAGATGTCTCCTTACATTGTAATGGTTGCAGACTTGGCAAACAGACTCAGTTACCTTATCCTACTAGTGCGTCTGTATCTCAGCGCCCTTTTGACTTAGTTCATTCTGATGTCTAGGGTCCCGCTCCCTTTGATTCGAAAGGTGGTCATCGCTACTATGTTTTGTTTATTGATGATTTCTCTCGCTACACTTGGCTCTACTTCATGAAATCTCGTAGCGAGGTTCTTTCTATATACAAACGTTTTGCTGCCATGGTTCGCACCCAGTTTGCCACGCCCATTCGTACTTTTCGTGCTGACTCCGCTGGAGAGTATATCTTTCAGTTGTTGCGTGGTTTTCTCGCGGAACAGGGTACTCTTGCCCAGTTCTCCTGTCCTGGTGCTCATGCTCAGAATGGTGTTGCCGAGCGAAAGCATCGTCATTTGCTTGAGACGGCTCGTGCGCTGATGATTGCTGCTTCCCTTCCACCCCATTTTTGGGCTGAGGCTGTTTCCGCATCCACCTATCTCATCAACATTCAGCCATCGACTGCTCTGCAGGGTGGCATTCCTATGGAGTGTCTCACTGGTCGCTCTCCTGACTACTCAGCTCTTCGTATGTTTGGATGCGTCTGCTATGTTCTTCTTGCCCCCCGAGAACGCACCAAACTGACTGCTCAGTCGGTTGAGTGTGTTTTCCTTGGCTACAGTGATGAGCACAAGGGCTATCGATGTTGGGATCCTGTGGGTCGTCGCTTGCGCATCTCGCGTGATGTGACTTTTGACGAGTCTCGTTCTTACTACCCACGTTCTCCTTCCTCGAGTTTCTCTGTGGACGACCTTTCTTTCCTTCTCCTTCCCGATACACCCTGCTATGTGCCTCATGTGTCACCTCTTCCTCCGGCACCTCTCATTCCTTCTCATTCACCACCGACCCCGTCTTCTCCATCCTCCTCCTCCACCTCTTCCCCATCCTCTCCAGTCCGTCGCCCTCTCTCACCGTTTCCTCTCCACTATACTCGACGATCTCGTACTGAGAATGTCTCCTCTGACGAGCCTTCCACCTCTGGTGCACCTCCTCTCACACCTCCTCCGGTTCATAACCTCCGTGCTCGGCCTCGCCCTCCGCCTGATCGCTACTCCCCTGATCGGTACGGTCTCTCTGTTTTGACTGAGCCCACTTCCTATCGCACTGTCATGACTCAGCCTGAATGGCAGCTTGCGATGGCCGAGGAGCTTGCTGCCCTTGAGCGCTCTGGCACATGGGATCTGGTTCCCCTCCCTTCCAGTGTCCGTCCCATCACCTGCAAGTGGGTCTACAAGCTTAAGACTCGCTTCGATGGTTCTCTTGAGCGCTACAAAGCTCGTCTTGTGGCCCGTGGCTTTCAGCAGGAGCAGGGGCGCGATTATGATGAGACATTCGCTCCTGTGGCTCACATGACCACTGTCCGCACTCTTCTTGCTGTGGCTTCTGTTCGTCAGTGGTCTATCTCTCAACTTGATGTTCAGAACGCTTTTCTCAATAGTGAGTTGCGTGAGGAGGTTTATATGCAGCCACCACAGGGGTACTATGCTCCTGGTGGTATGGTCTGTAGACTTCGCCGCTCCCTATATGGTCTCAAACAGGCCCCTCGCGCCTGGTTTGAGCGCTTCGCATCTGTGGTGACCGCCGCTGGTTTCTTGCCCAGTGACCATGATCCCGCGCTGTTTGTTCACACGTCTCCTCGTGGTCGGACTCTTCTCCTTCTCTATGTTGATGACATGATCATCACTGGTGACAACACTGATTACATTGCCTTTGTTAAGGCTCGCCTTCGTGACCAGTTTCTTATGACTGATCTTGGTCCACTTCGCTACTTTCTTGGGATTGAGATCTCCTCGACCTCTGATGGCTTCTACATCTCCCAAGAAAAATATATTCAGGATCTTCTTGCTCGCGCTGCTCTCGGTGATGAGCGCACGGTTGTGACTCCTATGGAGCTCAACGTTCAGCTTCGTGCCACCGATGGTGACCCTCTTCCTAATCCCACTCGCTATCGTCATCTTGTTGGCAGTCTTGTCTATCTTGCTGTTACGCCGTCCTGACATCTCCTATCCTGTCCACATCCTGAGTCAGTTTGTTTCAGCCCCCACCTCTGTCCACTATAGTCATCTCCTCCGTGTTCTACGATATCTTCGTGGCACGATCTCTCAGCGCCTTTTCTTTCCCCGCTCCAACTCCCTTGAGCTCCAGGCCTATTCTGATGCTACCTGGGCTAGTGATCCCTCTGATCGACGCTCGCTGTCTGCTTATTGTGTCTTTCTTGGTGGCTCTCTTATTGCCTGGAAGACAAAGAAACAGACTGCAGTTTCTCGCTCGAGTACAGAGGCTGAGTTGCGAGCCATGGCAATGTTGACGGCTGAGGTGATCTGGTTACGGTGGTTACTTGAGGATTTTGGTGTGTCTGCTACTACCTCGACTCCCTTACTGTCAGACAGTACTGGCGCTATCAATATTGCACGTGACCCGGTGAAGCATGAGCTCACCAAGCACATCGGTGTGGATGCCCACTTTGTGCGTGCTGCTGTGCAGGATCAGACTCTCGCTCTTCACTATGTGCCCTCTGAGTTACAGTTGGCGGACTTCTTCACCAAGGCACAGACTCGAGCGCAGCACGGCTTTTTTCTCTCCAAACTCAGTGTTATTGATCCACCATGAGTTTGAGGGGGGGTGTTAGATGTGTATAGTCCCTTTTCGGTATATCCCCATTGTATAAGGGGTTTTCTGCACTTTGACACACATGTATATGTAATGGCCTTTGGCCCTCAGGAAATACTAGTTGCTCACTTATCCAACAGCAAGAACAAAAGGAGCTTAATTGTGCAACTCCTATCACAAGGTCGCGGCCAACCAACCCCATGCTTTATGCCACTTAATGCAAAGATGTGCAATTTATTTTTGCACGTTCTCAAAAGAACAAATATAAGAAAGTTAATTTGCATTTTTCTATGAATCTTGTGAGCATTATCATCAAAACTAACCCTGCCCAAATAACCTATTTGTCACAGACACATGGCCATTAATGGCATTGACAAATCCTGGAAACAGTAATGCTATAAAAAGTACACAGGCATGGATTTGCACGAGACAAACTGAAGAAAGAATGAAAATTGGCGAATTCCAAAAGCTAATACTAGAAGTATAAATCAAAAGATCAAATTCAAACATTAGTAAATTACACTAGAATAGCATGCACTAAAATTAAGTACCACGTTAACTTTTTGCCCATCTGACCAAGTTAGACTTGGTAGCATAAATGAATGGTGTGTTAAAAATAACCAGAGCTATAGCATATACCATCTAAAGAGTCAGTGGTAGATTCATTCACTGGCCGCAGCATGTATATCTCCATCGCGCTGATCAAAGGCTGAAGCGCCGAGTTTGATGTTGCCACAAGGGAGATGCTATGCTCGTTTGAGCCTTGCACAATCCCTGAGAGAACAGTAGGCAGCAAGAATTTTGGGCTGAATGCAGAAGCTAATGGGTTGTTATCCACAGAGACATCAAATTGCCTTAACTCTTGGACTGCTTCCAACTCAGCAAAGTAGAGTACAAGAAAGAACTTGGGGTCAACACCAACATTCATGGAAGAATCTGAACACCACGATAAGTCCATCCTTGAGTCATTCACTGGAGTGGATGCACTACGCATCACTGCAGATGGTGCATCATAGTTGTCGTTTGTGGAGTTTTTTATTTCCCCGTTGGATTTGTTGGGTACGTCTGTCCAGCCGTCTACATTTCATACCTCTGCCACATACGGTCATAGGGGTCATCTGGCAACCTTGAATTGAATAGAACATTGAGCAGGATTACCTCTAGATAATGCAATAACAAAGGAAACATTAAATAATGCTTGGTCAGCTTACCTAATGTGCTGATAGTTTGTCCCAAAGTGATAGCGGTTGGGCCCAAAACCAACTGTATCACGGAAAAAGCTGAGCAAAACCAGAGACTGTGTCACATTGGCCTCCAGATAAAGATCTGATGTCAGTGACCTCAAGTCAAGCCCTGAGATGAAAGGAGTTCCCGATCCTTTGTTCACCAAGCAAATTTGTAGGAAGTCGGCAGGGCACACGGCAATTATCTCAAACACATATGCTGTACTGGAACTGACAATGGTCACTGTTGTCCAGTAATTGACCCCAAAATAGAGATCAAAGGTAGGATTTTTGTTTAGTTTATCATAGTCACCATAGCCAAATGCAGCCCTGACAAGGTACTTGCCACCCGGTGTTAGGAACCGCAGCGTGTAGCAGTTACGCTCTCCACTGGGAAAGAAGCGAAGGTTAAGGTATCGGTCTGCAAGGTCAGTCTGCAGATTACCTTTATCAACAGGGTGGATCAGTCCTGCATCAGTGTAACCCTCATCGCTTGCATATGATATGCCTGTCCTGCTATCTGTGTAGGTCTGGTTTGCAGTATATCCACAGTCGATGCTTATGAAACCTGCCAAATGGACAAGAACAAAATATGAAAATGAAATAATGTTAGGATCTGAATGCAGCTGTACTGCATATCCTTAGGCCAGACATACCTGAAACAGTGATTTAACATGGTTTTTTATATGGAAAACATAGTTTTGATCTTTTCTTTTATAACTATTTCAGTGGACTTGTTTGTCTTCTCGGAGATGAAGAAATCAAATCAGTGACAAATGTAGTAGCATAACTTGTATTTCGATAAACACCCCTGCTACTCGAACTGAAGAGCAGCAACAGGGTTGGAGACAAAGGCTTGGAACAAACCAAGAGAACACACTGCTCCCATAAAATTGCCATTAGCAAAAGCTCAATTTGTTTGTAAAGGCTGTATTTGCAATTTCGTATACGCCTGAAATTGACTCCATATGCAGTCTGCTCAATGAGTGTGTCAGGCCCAGCCTTGATCATCCTGTTTCCAGTGTGCCAGAAGTATACTGGGTCGTCGATCGTCAATCTAGCGGCTCTCCTTCCTCCGTACCGGTTCGCCAGCTCAAACGATCTCCAGGCGTTGATGGCCGATCCAACGGCGGTGGCGTGGTCCTGTAGCTTTTCCGACAAGCCATGTGCTTCGCTAGCTTTCTGTTCTTCTTTTTCTCGCGTGTAATGGCTATAAAGCCTCCATTCCTTCTCTGTTTGGGACATGTAGAATTGTATTGGGTAGTTACCCTAGCCGCCGGTGGCGTGCTGTACCAACTTTCCCCATTGCGCAAGCAAGAACCCTAGATTTCCGTCTCTGAATCTCCCTAAATTCTGTTAAGTAGTGCTTAAATTCAGTACATCAGAGCTCCGATCCTGACAATTGGTATCAGAGCCCAGTCTTTCCTCGGTGGCGGTGGATGATTGGGGCAGCGTAGAGGTTTCCTTGGCTGTAAAATCCCTCTCCGAGCTCCGATCTGGCGGCGGAGGCAGCTGGAGGCGACCGGAGTGGCGGCGTTCGAGTACAGTCAGAGAACGGCCTGGTTGCCTGAGAGTAATTCTCCGGTAGTAAAATTCCAGCTCCTGGATCTGACCGTGTACCGTTGGAGGCGGGCGTTGGTGGCGGTGTTGGCGACGGCGACAGGTTCATCCCACCCTCCCAACCCTGTATGGTGGTGATCTCTGACGGAGTGAACATGACGGGCCCTGCTGATTCAGGCTCCACAGCTGAGTTGCAGCTCGAGTCGCTCGAGTTGGACATCAAAGCGTTGCAGCACGAGCGGGAAGAGGATCGCAAGGATTTCCAGCAGTTTCAAGCAACGGTTAACAGAAATTTCGCCACGATGCAGAAGAACTTCGACAAGATCCAAGAAAATTTTAGACGTCTGCTGTTGGAACCGGAGCAGGCACAAGATGATGGTGTGGAAGGGCAGGGCAGCGTTCAGTTAAAGCATGACCAGATGAATTCACCGAACATAGCCCCAGGTCGACCCAAGCAACTTCCTATCCCTACTCCTTCTGTAGCTATGCCCGAAAAAGGGGCTGCCTTGCCGATTGGTACTGCAACTCTGAGAGACCATGCGGGCAAAGAACTGCATCTAGATGGTACACCCAAAGCACCATATAGGCACCCCAACTATGGTCAGGCAAAGGACACAGCGCCAAGTAATGTTGTGCAGCTTGATGAGACACCAGAAGACGAGATTGCTGATCCGGTTTATAGAAGAGGACAGAACTTTCAAGATGGAAGAAGAAATACCCTTACTGTCAAGCCAGCTAAATTGAACATTTCTGAGTTTGAGGGACAGGACCCTGAATCCTGGATTCAGAACCTTGAGCAATACTTTGCTGCAGCCCGAACACCAATTGAGCATAGAACTGAAGTGGCTATTTCTTACCTCAAGGGCCCTGCAGTGCAGTGGTGGAGGGGAACTGGATATGCCTCTAGTAATGTCCCATGGCATAAGTTTTGCTCATATCTGTCTGACAGATTTTCAGTGGACTCAGCTTGTGATATTATGAGTTCTTTCCATGCAGTTCAGCAAACAACTACAGTCTCGGCTTATGTGGAGCAATTTGAGCAGTTAATGAATGTTATGAGAAGGGAAAATCCTGCAATTCCAGATGATTATTATGTTGCTAGTTTTGTGTCAGGGTTGAGCACCTATATTAAGAGCCATGTGGAATGTTTCAAGCCCAAGGACATGCAAACTGCAGTTTGGTATGCTAGGAGAATGGAAAAATCTCAGTCTCCAAGTGTGGTTGTGCAGACCAGGCCATATGTTCCTCAACCAAAAAGACAGGTCCTATTTGAGCAGCCCAAGCAAGTACTCACAGGTACTATCCCTAATGGAAACACTGTGATTCAACAGGCTAAGCAAAACCAGGTATGCTATAAGTGTAGAGAACCATGGGTGCCTGGCCATAGGCAGGTCTGTAAGATGAGTCAGAAAGCACAAATTTAGGCACTGCAGGCTTAGGGCAGTGAAAATGCTGAAACAATTTATGTGACAGATTTTGATGATCCTGATTTGGAAAATGCTGAACCCCTGTCTGAGGAAACAGTGCTACAAGTGTCAATGCATGCTGCCATGGGCATTGGAGCTGCTAAAAACACTTTTATTTTAACAGTGAAGGTGGGCAACACCATTGCTACTGCTCTAGCTAGTGGACAGTGGGAGCACTTCTACATTTGTTTCTCCGGAGATGGCTACTAAGTTGCCTGTTGCTCCTACTCCTAATACCAAAATAAAAGTGGTGGTTGCTAGTGGAGGAGTATTGTGGAGTGAATTTTCAGTTAAGGACTGCCAGTATGAAATTCAGGGCCACACAAGTTTTCTGATGCATTTAGGGTACTAAAACTAAAAGGATATGATATGATATTAGGGGTGGATTGGTTGAAAAAGTACAGCCCCATTCAAATGGATTTCATAAAAATGGAAATGAGAATATCAGCACAGAATGGCCAGTTGATTTCTTTTGTGGATGAAACTATACCACTGACTGGTCTATCAGAAAGTACTGAAAGTCCTGATAAGTTACTGGAACAAGCTGTTTGTGGGTTCTTTCTGTTTACTTCTTCTGAATGTGAAGTAGTGGCTGCAGCTCAGGAAATTCCATCAGAATTATCGCCCTTATTGGAGGATTATGAGAAGGTATTCCAGGAACCTCAAGGTCTGCTAGGTGTGACCATAGAATTCCATTGATGGAGGGAGCTAAAGTGGTTAATCAGAGGCCTTATAGAGTCCCTCATCATCAGAAGGAGATCCTGGAGAAAATTATATTAGAGCTGTTAAAAAAGGGCATAATAAGGCCTAGCACAAGTCCATTTTCTTCTCCAGTGTTGTTGGTCAAGAAAAAAGATGGGACCTGGAGACTATGCACTGATTATAGGAAACTGAATGCAATTACTGTGAAAAATAAATACCCCATACTAGTAATTGAGGATCTGTTGGATCAGCTAAAAGGAGCCAAGTATTTCTCTAAAATTGATCTGAGAAATGGTTATCACCAGATCAGAATGGCTGAGGAGGATATTCATAAAACAGCATTTTCCACTCATATGGGCTTGTTTGAGTATTTAGTAATGTCCTTTGGACTTACTAATGGACCTCCCTCCTTTCAGGCATTGATGAATTTGTTGTTTGGTCTGTTGAAGTTTGTAGTGGTCTTCTTTGATGATATATTAGTATTCAGTTTCTCTTTGGAAGAGCACAAGGTTCACTTGGCACAGGTATTTGATATTCTGCAAGCTAACAAGTTGTATGCTAGAATGGAGAAGTGTTCTTTTGGGCAGCAGGAAGTTGAGTACTTGGGCCACATAATCAGCTCAGAGGGAGTGTCTACTGACCCTTCTAAAATCAAAGCTATTCAGGAGTGGCCCACTCCCACTACTGTCACTGAACTAAGAAGTTTTTTGGGTTTAAGTGGCTATTATAGGAGGTTCATTCAAGGGTATGGCATAGTTTGTAGGCCTCTCTTTGATTGCTTGAAGAAAGATGCTTTTTCTTGGACAGATAAGCAAACAGAGGCCTTCCTCATCTTGAAACAGAAACTGACTAGTGCTCCTGTCTTAGCACTGCCTGATTTTACTAAGCCCTTCATACTGGAAGTTGATGCTTGTGGCTATGGTTTAGGTGCTGTGTTAATGCAGGAAGGGAGGCCCATTTCTTTCTTTAGCAAGAGTATTGGTCCCAAGGCTGCTGCTATGTCCACTTATGATAAAGAGGCCCTTGCCATAATTGAAGCAGTG